CACTCAGGTTCTGATACTTTAATGCTGTTACACAGCATGATGTCTCCAAAATCTCTTGCCAGACAGGGAAACTATTCAAATCATTTTAGTAAAGGGCTGGTGATGCAAAGCGTTACAGTACAGATTATCTGAAAAAGATAGAAATGCCATGGGAAAAGTCAGAGTATTGCACGTGAAGGGATCTATCTCAAACCATTTGTTTCCAATCTCCAAATCCTAAACCTTGCGAGGGGGAGCATGTACCGGGTTCCTGTTCCGGGCTTGGCTGAGCCAGAGCTCTTGGCCGACCTCATCACAGTTGCTCGCAGAGGTGTCGAACTGCACCTTTGCCGGAAAAAAAAAAAAAAACTTTACTCTGCTTTCCTCCTGGCTTGTCCCCCCCGGCCCCGCATGAGGGAGAGACGCGGTGTTGGCTGCGGGCCCTTTCCAGCCCGCGCAAAGTGCTGTTTCACCAAAGAAAAGGGGTGTTTGGCGGAGACACACACCCACACCCACCCACCCACCCACACACACCCACCCACCCACACACACACCCCCCCCCGCCGCCCGGGCGGGTTTTTACCACTAGGTGCTGCTAGTGCCTCCCGATGCGCCCGGCCGCCGCGCCGGCCCGGCCCCGGCCCGCAGGGACCCCCGGGCCGGGGGGACACCCCCTGAGCCGAGGGGACCGATCGGGGTTTTCGCTGCGCCCGTGTGAGCAGGCTGCGCGGCTCGGGCAGCAGGAGGTCTGGCACCGCTTTCCCGGGGGCTGGCCGGAGAGGAGCGGGCTGCGGGGAGCCGGGGCGAACCCCACGGCTGGGAGAGCACCCACCGCCTGTGCGGGAGGGAGAGCCGCTGGCTGCCTTCATGCACAGCGGTGCAGAGCCGCGAGAGGGACGAGGGAGAGCGGAACGGAGCGGGGACGCAAGCTGCGGGGAGGGGGAACCAAACTCGGAGGGAAGGGAGGACTTCGGGCTCTAGGGCAGAGGAAGGCAGGGTCTAGCGGGGCAGGAGCGTACTGCCCGGCGCAGGTGGGAACAAGGACCTGCAAGTGTAGAACAGAGCTCAGTGGGGTCAGGAGAGGTCAGACCTAGGCTTTGTGTGAGGCAGGTCATCCGGGGGCAGTAGCCCGAATCTCGGCGAGTGTTGCGTTTTGCAGCCTAACGGAGCAGGCTGTGTTAGTCTGCATCTGCACACAGAAAATCCATCTGTTTATGACTGAACTGGCTGCGCAGACCTGCTTGAACTCGAGCTGTTCTGGGCATCCAGATAAGCTTTACTGGTAGATGTTTTAGGGGGAGATATGGAGGAAAACCTTGACTCTGGCCTCATCATCTGGAGGCTGGATGAAAACATGCACCCACGCTTGATCTCTGGACCACGACTCCACAGTAGTAGCAGTTTCATTAGAAAAGTAATTTTGCTGTAGATGGCCAGACCATTTCACGTAGGCTGGGGAAAGGGGAAAGTGCATAAGTCAGTGGCAAAATTTTTAAATTATGGTTCAATGTAGTGCTGGGCAGATATGTTCAGCCAGTCACTTCAGTAGCTGACTACAAGTTTTTATTTCCCCGTAGCACTGCAAGGGGAGAAGCGGGCTTGCCGTGAGGAAAACAGTCAAAATATACACAGCAAAATGTTCTTTACGAGTTTATGCTAATGCAAGCAATGGACCCAAGTGGAGCCCAAACTCCCTTCTAGATGATGCAGTGTATTCTCAAAAAGGAAAAAAAATGTGTTTCTAAATACAGTATCAGCAAATACTCAAAAGCAATGGCATGCAGCAGTAGTGATAGTAAGCATTATCCTGAATACTGACATCTAGATCTGAAGCCAAATGCCCAATAGCCATAAAATATTTAGGTACATGACTTTTTTCTTGAATTTAAATAGGTTGCTAGATAGTCACAGTTGTGGTTTCCGGGCTCAGTCTGGTGTTGACAGTAACATTTTAATTTATACTAAAGAGAAGGCAAAGTTAAATCCATGCCATGAACTAAGAGTCAGATGACCTGAAAGCAAGACAGTACAAATGAGCTCCCTGGAGAGAAGAGGCTGTGATGGAACAAATAGAATAATACAGAGAAATGACTTGATACCATCACTGGAGTGACTGTATTTCACTTCTTTGGACAGAAATTAAATGAGCTTAAATTGGGACAACTGCTTTATTTTCAGAGAATTACATCTAAAGCCTCTGTTGCCTACAGACAAGTGATATACAATTGTTTCTCCCCCTGAAGCCAGGTGCTATTAATTGACAATTTTCATATGTCACTCAACATGAAGAAGTCAGCAAATGTCATCATACGTAATAGAGGCAGGCCTGAGTATTCCCACTGAGTCTCCCAGAAATAGAAAGTTCCCTGTTTGCAGACAAAGACACGTGAAACATAAAAGTTAACTACATGATATACCAGGAGGGAGTGAGTGTTAACCTGAGACTCTTGTCATTGCCCAGTGAGCATCCACGTTGTGGTAAGATATACAGCGCCTAGCAGTCACCTATTTGTTGGCAAATAAAAGGAGCAGTGAAAAATTAGTTTTTAACAACACCATTAGGAGGCTTGATACTACATCAGAAACTGCTTTCCCTGCTCCTCTAACTCAAGCTCTGAGCCTAGAGGCAGTGTTTATTGGAAATTACTTCTGCCTTGAGAATGGAAGTGTAAAACCTAGCACTGAACACTTTTATGGTGCTCCTAGATATATATTATCCAAGGGACTGAAAACTTCCTTGGCAAATACAAGTGGGACTTTTTTCCCTGGGGAGTATAGGTACCTTTACAATTAGACTTCAGCTTTAATTTAAAAACATATTGTTTGGCACATGAGGCATCTCACTGAATGCTCTGTACAAGGACCAGTTTTGAATGGAAAGTGAATTCAGGAATGTTGTCAGCTTACCTGCTGAAGTTGACTTCATACCGACCCTAGGCAATTCAACTCAAAGATGAGCTCAACACTGCAAGTTCCCATTACAACCCTTGCAGTATCTTGCCCTATTCTAATTTTCCTTTAAACAGCTACATTTAAAAGCTTTACTTTACCACTTATACAACAAACTGTTATGTCCAGAGAGCTGTGCTCTACTGAAAAGTCTGGGTCTAAATGTGAGCAGGTTTTGAACGTATTTGCATTTCTTCCTCCACCTGCTTATGTGATGACCAATGTCTTGGTAATGCAGCTTGCAGTGTCTGGTTTGGAAAATGCAGTTCTCAATGTAGTGGGAATGTGAACATGCTGGTAAAACTGCATATCCGTTCAGCAGATTGCAGTTCTCCTGTAGCATTTGGAACTCATGACCTGGAGAGCCATTCTGAGGACCTAAGGAGTGCATAGCACTCGGTTAATACAGTGTCCTTCCATACTTGCATGTTTTTAATGAACTTAACTAAAAATCATACTGTACCTACTCAGTGTGTGATACTCAGATGCTTATAATTCAGATTAAAACCAACTGAATTTCAAATCTCACCAACTTTGGCTGCAGGGCTGTTTAAACTAAAAGGTCAGGAGAAAAAAGAATATTTTTTTACATGAAACTTTTTTAGTCTTCTCAATCAAAATATGAACTGCTTTTAAAAGCACATTTTCATCTTTAGGCAGAGACCAATTAGTTTAAATTTCAACTCTCCATTTTGCATACTTTCAGACAGGTGTTAAAAACAAGGGCTTAGGAAATAAACTGTATTGTAGCTTCACCTATGATGGTTGTGACCAAGTCACAAAGTCTTTCCTTTCTTAAGAAAGAGGTCCATTGGAAATGATGCAGACAAATCCAGGATCTTTGGAAAAATGTGGTTTCAGATTCCTAAGTAGGGTAGGTACAATTTCACAGATTGAGACATTTCTCAACAATAAACCTGAAATGTAACCCTAAACCCCAAAACCCCACCTGCTACTTTAGGGGAATGTAGTTTACCTCTGCACATTGTAGCCATATTCCCTCTTGAATTGCAATGTACCCCTTGGTGACTGGGAAATGCAATGGAAGGCCCTGCATTAAGGAAACATCCTTGTGAAGCATAAAGAGATGGAAGTCTCCCACAGAGAGCCCTCTCTGCCCTCTTCCCTGCCTGATTCATTGAGGCAAGGTGGCAGCTTCTCTCCCGCACAAAAAGAAAGGTGGTGGAAGCAGTTCTGTGATGAAAGGGAATCTTCAGCCCAGGCTGAGCTGTCCAAAGAAGTGCTAGTAATATGTGAAACATGAATATTCATTGCTATTTTATCATTAGTAAACCTATACATCGGGAAGAGGTTGTGTTGGATGTTACTACATGTGTGGCATGGTTTTGTTAAAGAAAAAAGTTGGGAGAGACAGCCACCTTTTTTCTTGCAGTACCTCAGCAAAGAGATTGTGGGATGCCACAAACATTTCATTAACAGAAAGCTAAGAACACTGTCGCATAAGACTGTACACTGCACTGCTTCCTGATGGAGAGTGTCTGCTTTCCTTTGCTGGCACAGCCAGGAATGTCAATAAAGAAAAATGATTGCAGCAGAGTGGGCTAGTGCACTGAGAAGCTTTCTGCTTTGCATTTTCAGGCATTAAAAACCTTATAACTTCTCCAAAACATCACATTCTTCCTTCAGCTTGGCCATCACAACATATAGTGGTGGCATCTCAAATATAAAGCACAATAGCAAAGCAAGTGAGAGCTTCATAGTGACTTATGAAGGCACACAGTGCAGCAGCACAGATCAGGGTGGCTGGGGCGGGAAGGGTCAGGTATTGAGTCACACGTATTGATCAGAGCTGATTAACTGTTTTCTGTTTCTTTTCCAAACAAAGTTGTCCATCAGAAGTACCTTTACTAGATAAAAGCATATTTAGTTATGTATAATCAAAATACAATTACTATATATATTTCTAATTAATGTAACATGTACTGCAAAGTATACTGTATGTTCAGTCTAGTCTCATGGCCAAAAATATTCCATGAATCCTGGTCAACAATTATCAAGAATTCTATTCCTGACAAATAAACTGAAAATTATCACTTGCTGACTAAGTCAATATGTTACCCTGCTGCTATGCCATATGGCCCTGGATGCTGAGACACAACACAACCTCATCAAGTGACACCCAAACTGAAGGAGTGGTTGATACACTGGAGAACAGGGTTTCCATTCAGAAGGACCTCAGCAAACTGGAGGAACAAGCTAGCAGGAACCTCATGAAGTTCAACAAAGGCAAATGCAAAGTTGTGAATCGGGGTCGGAAGAACCCCACATGCCAGGTCAGGCTGAGGGCTGAGTGAACAACCCTCAGCTGGAGTTTGGGACCTGCAAAACAACATCTACTGACAACCTAGAGAGACTCCAGAGAAGGGCTGCTAAGACAGTTAGGGGACCAGAGCACCTGATGTACAAGGAGAGGCTGGGGCAACTGGTTTGTTTAGCCTAGAGACAAGAAGGTCAAGAGGGGATATAATTGTAGTCTTCCACTACCTTAATGCATTGGAGAAAGCAGATGCAAACTTTTCTAAGCGATGCACAGTAAAAGAACAGAAGGCAACAGTCACAAGATGCAACAAGGGAAATACTGATTGGAAATACAGAAAAAAAAATAATCTCGGTGGGACTAGTGCATCACCAAGACTGGGGCCCAAAGGGGCTGTTCAATCTCCACCCTTGGAGATTTTCAAAATTTGGCAAGGCTTGGAGCAACCTGATCTGATTTTGAAGCTAGCACTGCTTTGAGCAGAAGGTTGGACTACAGACCTCCAGATGTCCCTTCCAACCTAAATTTTTCTATGAATCTAAAACATAAAATTCAGTTCCATAAGGTCCTAAGTATCCCTTCCATCAGCTGTAAAGGTGCTTGAAGCTTTGTTGGGGGTCAACAGAATTGGCTTATTAGAGAAGTGATCTATCTAAATCTCAGCTATGATTTCATTCAGTAGGTAAGCAGATTATGTGTGATCAAATATTTGATTGCCTATGTATTATACCCAGATTGTCATAACAGGCTGAGATATACGAGGCTTGATTGTCCTCTCCCTTTCTTCAAAAATGTGAGATTCAACAGGGATAGGGAAGGAAAAAAGACAGAAAAAATTAAACTGTCTTCCCCTGAACAATGAGTGAAACTGCTACATTTCATGTAAATATTATCACTGATCTATAATACAATCATTTCACAGTCATCAGGCCAAACCTCACTAATATTCCCTCCTCGTCAAAACACAGAGGGTTACTCATACAAGTAAAGGCTGGCAGGCATGCAAATTATTTTGTAGAAAGATGGTTAAAGTTCTAAATCATGTATTAAATTACTTCTATTGTACAAGTTTAACTTCATTTTCCAAAGTAGTCACATGCAACAGAGATGCGGTAATGTAGGTATTCCAAATGCAGGAATGATTAGCTGCCAGTGCCTTCTAAAACTAGATTCATAAGTCAGATCATTGGAAAGATCAGTGGTTTGTGTCCTGGATGTCATGAGACCGGAGAGGTGGAATATTGGCAGAAGATTAGGTTTATTTTTGTATATGTGCTTGAAATATTTAGACAGACTAGGATAGAAATCAACTTTTAGAGTTATAAACCCTGATGCAGCAAAAAAGTCATGAGCAAGCCCATCTCAGATGTTCAAGGAACATAAATATCAGTTTATCCTTGAACAGTGGCCCAAAGTCCCATTAAAGTTCAAGGAAGGACAGTGATATTCAAGCACTTGCTTAAAGGTAGGCATGTGTTTAAATGCACTGATGGTCTGGGGCGTTTTTACTTCTATATCCCTGTGTAACAAACAGGGAGATACCACCAGATTTATTAGTATTGCAGGCATTACTGAACCTCCTTGTTTCTACATAGAAGCATACTGCTGGCAGTTTTGATTTTGTCACAGAAGAAAATGAACATTCAAATATGAATTGTCTGCCTGGGTCTGGTGAAATCAGAGAACCTAGACACCAGTTTCTGTAGGTTCAGATTGGGCTATAAACATATATTCTCATGAATAAGTTTATTTGGACCTTTAAGAAGCTTGGGTTGAAATGTAAAAACCTCTGAACAATCTGATTGGGACCAGTGTATAAGCAGCCAGACAGATACCAGTCAGTACCTTTCCCTCCCTCAGGAGCTTTATCCTTTACTGTTTGTAGGTTTACCTGTTAATGCTCATCATGGTTATAGGCTCTGACTCAAGAGCTCTCATTAATCACTACCTAAGAACACTGCATCTGGTAAGCAGACATATCAGATACTGAGCTGAAGCAGCAGTACTCACTTCAAACTGCCATTTGCTCCTGACATAACAAGGGAAAAGATTATGCAGCCTAAGTACCAATAATTTTTCACTGCATGATTCAAAACAAGCTTTGGAGATTGGTTCTACATGCTACAAATGATGGCACTGAGGGTTCATGACATTCAGTGATCAGCACTGAAATACACATCCTCTACCTCACTGCGTGTCTTGCATTATACCCACTTGGAGTTACTCAAAGGTGTTCAGTTGATGAGCCTGAATAACAGTGTTAGAATTTGGATTCAGGTCCCAAAGTTTGTGAGTGTTTGAAAGCTAGGTCTGAATAATCACATCCTTTGATAGAGTCACTTGTGAAGAGCATCTGAAGGTCTTAATTTTATGAAAGTTTAGGTTCACTTTAATCCATATTTTCATCTGTAATCCAGCCCTAATTCTTTCTCTGAATAGCAGGAGGAAGCCAGGCAAGACCTTTGCATAGCCATTCAAGCATTTAGCAGTTCAGTTTCCAGGCAGTCAATTTTGCTGATTCAGCAAACACAGCAGTTCTCAAAGTATAATCTACTAAAACCGCTGCTGTCACAGTGGTAAAGCATCTGTCAGTCTCAGAGCTGTGATGTCTTGCTGCTGCTTTGAGCTCAGGTCAAGATTCATTTAACATTTCCAAATGCTTTTTCTTTTTTCTTGCTTTTCTTGTTTTTTTTTTTTTTTTTTTTTTTTTGTTTGTTTGTTTGTATTTGGTTTTGGGGTTTTTGTTTTGTTTTTTGTTTGTTTGTTTGTTTTTTGTTGTTGTTGGGGTTTTGGGGTTTTTTGTTTGTTGTTTTTTTTTTTTCTTTTTGACCAGCTAGACTCCAAAATAATCATATTTCTTTTTCAGTTTCGTATTTTATCTTCACATTGTTTCTTACAGTCACTCTAATTTTGCTCAACTATTTTTATGGTAGCTCCACTACATGTTGGAAAAATAGTAGGAAAAGGACTGGGAGACTGGAGGGAAAAGCAGAATCCATGAAAGATTGGAGGCACAGATTGTGGCAATACAGTAGTTGAAAATCACCAAGTTCACGCATTACTGGTTATATTTGCCATGTGGTTTCAGCAAGAGATAGTATTCTTCACACACAGTGTTCGAACTGTTTAATAGTGGATCATGCAGCAGCTGCTGGTTTGCAGCCCAGAAATGACTGCACTTCAGTGGTAGGCAAAGGGATCTCAATAGCTCCTGGAGTGAACTATTTTGCTAGGTAGAAAGGAGTTAAAAGTATATAAAGAAATATGTTTCTAATTTATTATCTTTTACACAGATGTGTGCTTTTGGGAAAGGCATGATACAGCTAATGCAACCTTCTCTTTAAGGCTCAGCCAGTAATTCTTTAAGGTCACAAATTGTAGTCTGCATACTTTGAAGAACCACATTTTGCTGATCAAACTGGGAGTGGCAGCGGGCCAGCTGGTACGAATGGCAGCTTTCTTTCCATGTTTGCATATGTTTGTATGGATGTTGTCTAAACTCTTATGTGAGTTGCCACAGGGTTCCATGCCCTGTTCATTGTTTGCTGTGCTGATTCACTGGCACATCCAGGGGTGATTTTTCACGTCATCAGAAATGTTATAATACCATATTGGTTTTGTAAGTACAAGTGACTACCTAAGTGATGGAGGATTCCTGTCTCCTGCGTGTGCAAGAATGAAGAAGGAGGGCAGAGGAGAGAGAGAACAAAAAACTATGTACCAGATAAAAGAGCAGGATACCTGAATTAATTTGTGGAAGCAATAACATTTTTGTCAGTTATTCCTCTTTCCTGAAGGATGGAACCTCACTGATTGAAAGACACTCAGGTCAGATATGCTCTCATTTGTCAGTAGCTAAGTTTGTGTAGCCCTTGTAAAATCTAAAATCACATGCCCTTCACACACACTTTTGTTTTTCATGGCTGCACTCAGCCTAGAGTATAGGAATTGTCATATGTTATCAACTTGGCAATCTGTTCAGATCAGTATCCTCTCTAATAGTAGTTTAAGAGGGCAGTGCCATAATCTGATACGTATACTTTTTTCTCCGCTTGAAGTCTCAAATTAATCTCTTGAGGGACTCAATTCTTCCCTGGAGCACATGGTTTAAAATCTCTCTGAAATATGACATAAATTATGCCAAATCTGGGCAATCTTGCTATAACATAACAGACCTAACCCTCTTCAATCTCTTTAAGGCCTTGTCCTCAGTGGCTTCCTGTGACAATACATTCAATGGCTGAAGTACATGCCCAGTAAGAATGCTTATTTCTATCAGATGCTTCCTTTTATAGAATTATCTAATATTTAATTTAATTTCTCATCCAGTTACTGCAGTAGCATACAGCCCCACTGCCAGGGCCCTGAGTGCACTTTTAGGCCTGAACGCCCTGACCAGCCCCTGGGGCCTCCCCCCATCCTGACCACAGCCCAGGACCCCACTCCAGAGCCTGCAGTGCTGGTCTCCAGCTCCCCACAGCTCTACCCATGGGGCCCACCGAGCTGGGTCCCTGTCCCCAGGGAGGTACCCCATGCCTGGGCTGGAGATGTTCCGCTGCCTTCCCACTGCTCTGCCTCCTGTCACGGAGGCCACGTCCTCCCACCCCTCCGAGGCCCGGCTGCCCCCAGACAGCCGCCAGCCCTTATGGCTCCACAGCACCTGTTTCTTGTGAAGCGGCACCAAAAAGTTTGCCTTTTCTTCCCCTCCCCAAATCTTTTTTTATGAAACCCTGACAGAAACCTCCTAGGAATAACAGCTCCTGCCCCCTCCACCATCTGGCAGGCCCCTCAGCACTGACTGTTGCCCCGAGTGGGACATTTCCAATAGCCACTCTGCAAAGCAGGGACGATCCCCTCAGGACCTCTGGACTCCAGGGGCTGTGTTCAGTGCTGTCTGCTTCAGACCCTCCAGCAGTGCCCTGACATCTTTTTGTCCCTTCACAACTGATGAAACCACCTCTGGGTCAGGTGAATGGTGACAGGGACCTGGTGTCTGCCCAGAGAGTTCTTGTCACA